CAAGTTGATTTTGCAGTATAATCAACCCATATTGCAGTACATATTGCAGTTCAAGTTGATATTGCCATATAATCAACCCATATTACAGTATATATTGCAGAACAAGTTGATATTGCCATATAATCAACCCATATTACAGTACATATTGCAAACAAGTTGATATTGCCATATTATGATCAACCCATATTACAGTACATATTGCAGAACAACTTGATATTGCCATATAATCAACCCATATTACAGTACATATTGCAGTACATGTTGATATTGCCATATAATTAACCCATATTGCAGTATGTTGATTATGAAAAACAATATTGAATAAAAGCCACTGGTTATATTTGTAAATTCAAACCAATAATAACACTTTAATTTTTGAAAATTATTTCAGAATTCCTCCATATTTGGCGAATAAAAATGTTATTTGTACATTTCATGTATACATTGGTCAAATATTGGAATATATCATGATATGAAGGTTGTGTACCGATGTACATATCAGTCAAAGCCTCTTATAGCAATATCATGGTACTGTCATATTGTCAAACTTATGTATATCTATTTATTTTCTGAAAGCAGCTCTATTACTGGAATGATTTTATGTCTCTTGTTGATTTTTGTCCTGAAGTAAAATGTTTTGACTTTTACCCAAATGAAATTTTTTGTTGATGATTATTGTGTTGATGAAAAAAAAAATGAAATAATAAAAAATGATTTTATGTGAGATGTTTGTTGTTTCTTTCTTTGGTGAAAATAACTTTAACTCAGTCATTTCTAGTTGCAACATGATACACTTTACAGGGTCATACAGGCATGGTTCTAGGTCTGACTGCAGTGATGTAATTATAAGTAATGTAAACGACCAACATACAAAATCTGGTCAGACTTAGTATCCACAAAGATTGACCCAGCTTTAAGCTGGTTGTAACCTTTGTTTTACTACCACCTAAACTACTGTTCCTGCATTAAATTTCAAGCAAGACAAATAAATCACAGAAAAACAGTAAATGAAAAGTAAGCTGAATTCTGTAGAATGTACTGGGCAGTAGGAAATACTTGTTTGGTTGAAGTTATTGCAGTTATGGCATCAAGTGTTCAATTACAATGTATATTGAAAGTAATAATGAAAATACTATTCTCAGATGCTTCACAGTATTTCATCAATTAACAGAGATAGGAGTTCAGTGCATTATTAGACAAAATATGCATAACCTTAAAAAAGAAAGACAGTAAAATCAAACATCTTGTTTAACATTTGAAATAAGTACCTGACCAAATGTTACCAAGCTATTGAACGGTCAAAGCCTGATGTAACCACAATGTTTAAGTGAATGTGTACAGACAGATTACAAATAACATAGCTTAGAAAGACAGACAGATTACAAATAACAAAGCTTAGAAAGACAGACAGATTACAAATAACAAAGCTTAGAAATACAGACAGATTACAAATAACAAAGCTTAGAAATACAGACAGATTACAAATAACATAGCTTAGAAAGACAGACAGATTACAAATAACAAAGCTTAGAAAGACAGACAGATTACAAATAACAAAGCTTAGAAATACAGACAGATTACAAATAACAAAGCTTAGAAAGACAGACAGATTACAAATAACAAAGCTTAGAAAGACAGACAGATTACAAATAACAAAGCTTAGAAAGACAGACAGATTACAAATAACAAAGCTTAGAAAGACAGACAGATTACAAATAACAAAGCTTAGAAATACAGACAGATTACAAATAACAAAGCTTAGACTCTTTCTAATGTATTTATTTCATTTCATAAAATCAACAATCAAGAATAACTGGTAAATATCTATATAAAATGTAAATAAATATAATACTTAAATTGAAAAATAAAAACTTAAATGAGAATTCACTTCTTAATTTTTTCAAAGAACAGTAAAACGTTATTTTCTTATTTCTTTCCTAAACAATAAAGGCTTACAAATAACATGGTAAAATTCACTTGCAAAATTTATTTTGATACATACGTTGTTTTTTTTTTAAATATTAGAAAATAATGATCCTGCTCAAAAATAATTCACAATTGTTACCACTTGCGTGTATTATTCATTTTTATTTGAATCACATTTTAATGAATATGTTGTCAGTACTCTGAAATTTGAATTATATTCTAGTGAGAAAATGGGACCTTCAGAACACCATTTTGTAATATGACTTAAGTTAGCCAGCTGCTTTCACAATAATCTCTCCTATAAGTGAATAGTTCTATTATTATAGTTAATTAATATGTCTGTGAAAGATAACCTGCAGGTAACAACAACCTTACATGATTAAATATAGAATCACTTCAATAATAAAGGAATGTACTACATTAAATGTATATCATTTCAAAATATGTATATTATCATACAAAGATATAAAACAAGAAAAGAAGTAAAGAAAAAAGCTACCACAAAATTAAAGCTCAAAGCTGATTTGGATAGAAAATGAAATGAGCCACGTCACAACAAAACCAACATAGTGCGTTTGTGACCAGCATGGATCCATCAGGATCAGGATCCATGCTGGTCGCAAACGCACTATGTTGGTTCATTTCATTTACTCGGCTCATTTCATTTACTATCCAAATAGCTTTACCATTTATCCACCAAATATTACCCTCTGTGTTCATCAGTTGGAACCAGCCAATGATTCTACATAAATTACAATACCATGTTCCATAAACAATATTAGTTATAAAGATTATGGAGGGTTATATCATGGATCAATATAAATGGTTGTAAAATCTCATATAAACCTTGCCACTAGACAAGGGTTATATAGCAATCAACCCTCTACACACAGCCATATAACCTATAAATATTCTATATTTCAAATATATGGTAAAACTATTTTATTTTCTTTGATTAAAAGTAAAAAATAATTTGTAGGATCAATGTAGTTTATGTTTATAGATAATGTCACACTTGTCCAATGAAAATTGATGTTACAAACATGTAGTAATAGAAAGATTCCTACATGAACTTTGTACTATTACAGGTATCAAGAAAACATGTATTCAAATTTTGCCTTTTTATAAAAAAGATAATAACTTGAATCTAGGGCAGTTTTATATAAAACAATATACAAGTGTGAACAATCTGTAAAGAATAGCTCCCATACCCAGTAATATATACAGAATATTTGCTACATTGTCATATTTCACAAAGAACACATAGGCACACACTATAAATTTTAGTCACAATGATAACTATATATTTAATTTAGCAATACCTAAGACAATAGATATTTGAAATTCAGTAAATGTGAGTTTTTCCATTCTAATTCCCCAGTAAAAACTTTTACTGTTAATGCTTCACAGTGCACTTCCGATCACAATAGATCAGTCAAACTGTTGTGCTTATTTTCAAAGCTGTAATCGTAAAAGTTTATTTGTAACCCCTGTCCCAAACCGATTAACTTGGAAAAAACCAAAATATTCTTAAATCTATAAGTGTATTGTAAGTTTGACAATAGGTTTTAAGTACAGCAACATTTAGGAAAATTATACATATACACCATACAAGAAATCATTGCCACCATTGCTTAAAACAAAAAATGAAAATATATTACAGTATTATTTGAAAATAAAATAAGAAAGATCAAAATAAATAGATCTATAGCTTGCAAGCAAAAGTTGCTTTGATCAAAACAAATTATAAATTAACAAGCAAATAAATAAATACTGTATAGTTATAAATCTTGTTGGTATTCATGAATTTGTAATGTGTGTGTGTGTGTGTGTGTGCATCCGTGTGTGCTTTGTGTGTGGGTGGATATGCCTGTGCATGTGTTTGTATGTGCAAAAAGCCCAAAACAACACTTTGTGACCATGTTTTTTTATATTACTTGCACTGTAGTTATCTTATATGTTTGTATATTTTTATTACTGTATGATCACAGAGAAAAAATAATTTAAAACAAGAGCTGTCGGTAGGACAGCAACGCTCGACTATTCTTAGTGCTTGATAGTAAAAAAAATGCTTGATACAGTTACCTCCTCCTGTTTACAGGTTGGGGTCATGATGGTGAACAAGTGTGCAAAGTTTCAAAGCCATATGTCAATGGACTTTGAAATTATATTTGAACTATTACAAAAACTTTAACGTAAATTCTAAGTCGAAAAAGGGGCTTAATTCTGTCAAAATGCTTGATAGAGTTACCTCCTACTGTTTACAGATTGGGGTCATGATGTTGAACAAGTGTGCAAAGTTTCAAAGCCATATGTCAATGGACTTTGAAAATATTTGAACTATTACAAAAACTTTAACGTAAATTCTAAGTCGAAAAAGGGGCATAATTCTGTCAAAATGCTTGATAGAGTTACCTCCTCCTGTCTACAGGTTGGGGTCATGATGGTGAAGTAGTGTGCAAAGTTTTAAAGCCATATGTCAATGGACTTTGAAAATATTTGAACTACAGTAGAACTTCTATGAGTCGAACTTCCATTAGTCGATTTTCTCGATGTGTCGAAGAAAAATGAAAGTCCCGATTTTTCCCCTATATATTCCTTATAAAAACCTATTTATGAGTCGAGATTTTATGTGTCGAATTTTTCGATGTGTCGAAGTTTTTTCGTGGTCCGTATTAAGTAAATCTAGTGCAATTTACCACAAATAAGTCAAAGTCTTTCGATTATTTTGACACGTTCGATCTCAAGACATTTTTCACACCTTATCTGGCTGCGAAGACGATTTCCAATCAACTTGTGTGACAGGTGTTAATTACACATCCGTGTGCTCAAACAGCCTTTGTTTGCGAAAAAAATGTGTGATAAAATTCTTTAATCGTTTCTATTTTAATTGCCGTAGTGGTATTTTAAAAGTAAAAAGTAAGAACTACTCTCATTTGAACATGACCAGGTGTCGCGTGAGAATAACACGCGAAATATTTACTATAAGCCGGTTTAGTTAACGCCCTTTCTTACTGTTACGCCTTTTGTAACTCTATGGGTAGTCCAAATAATAAGCCGTGAAAGATGTTATCTAACATGCTATATTTATCATTGTAAAATATCTGATTAATGATTGAAAAACATGAAAAAAGTTTCGTTATAGATCTTATGATTAGCACTAGTCACAGGTCGAAATTTTGTCATGGATTTGAGAGCGATTCATGAGTCGAAGTCCCGATGTGTCGAAGTTTTTACCCAAGTCCCTTCAACTTCGACTTACCGAAGTTCTACTGTATTACAAAAACTTTAACGTAAATTCTAATTCGAAAAAGGGGCATAATTCTGTCAAAATGCTTGATAGACTTACCTCCTCCTGTCTACAGGTTGGGGTCATGATGGTGAACAAGTGTGCAAAGTTTCAAAGCCATATGTCAATGGACTTTGAAAATATTTGAACTATTACAAAAACTTTAACATAAGTGGTTACGCCGACGCCGACGCTCGGGTGACTGCAATAGCTCTACTTATTCTTATCGAATAGTCGAGCTAAAAAAGTAATAACAAAAATAAAGAAATAAAATATGTGTATATCCATAACAAAAAATAATAAAACAGATCTTTTATAATATTTATCAAAAGTTTTACTGAAATTAACATGACTTTATTGGCAATGCTAAAGAAAATTATTGACATTTTATACTTACATTGAGGATATTTGATTTCGAGTGAATATAAATATTTTACTGAGAAGTAAGAAAATTGCCAGTTTTATGAGTGCATAGCTACATTAATAATGTGGATATTTTCTCACTTGGAGGTAAATATATTTTATATTCTTAAAAAAAAACAAAGCTCCTGTTTATATTATGCATATTAATTTTAAAACAGTTGACTGTTTTTTTTGAAGTGCAGGAAACAGGCATGCTTAATCACTCACTTTGCAGGTGACATGCAGTGAGCAATTAAAATACTAATAAAACTCAGTAATTCATAGGGTACCATAAAACAAAGTTTATACCAATCTGATATTAAACAAATCCTGGATCTTCAACAATTCAATTTCATATTTGACCTTTAGAAACATTATTCACATTTCGTTGTTAATTGTTTCTTAAAAAAAGTTGAATTGTATTCCGAACATAAAAATTAATGAATATGCAATCAGTTAACACTCTTAACATATTATATACATGATATAAAAGAATTATTTACCCTATTTCTACTCTTTCACTAACAGAGTGAGAGCTATTTTTTTAACAAATTTAAAAACAAATTGACTGACAATATGAATATAAAATAAAGAGCAATGGATTTTGATATACTTATGACAATTAGTGAGATCAATTATTATTAGTTATACATTTAAATTTTAACATATCATTCAACAATACAATAACAATTCAATAATAAACAACAGTATCAATCTATGTAGTAATAAATAAACATGATTACGAGCCTACATAATGGACAGAATTTATAAGAGAAAAAATTGATTCGTTTTTTTTTTAATTCTTATATCATATAAAATTTTGAATCATTTATAAAAAACATAATTAAATATTTATGATTTTTAACTTTAACAACAATATTACACTTAACTAAAAAAGCTTCTGTACTTGTTTGTTGTCGTGTTTTTTTATATGTCTAAACTAACTTATCAGAATATTATGTTACAACATAAAATGGTTGTATTTCAATACTAAGCATTCTTACTTTATGTAATGGATTTGCCCTGCTTTGAATTTGGAACAGTCCATTCCAAGTCTAGGGGATTTATTTGGAACATTCCATTCAAAGTATAAGGGATTTCAGTATCATAATGAAAAATAGAGCCACCGGCAGTATAGAGCCTGATCAGACTACATAGATGAGCAGACTGCCTGGCACTATACTGTTAACAAAGACTATGTTTCAATCAGGTTTTTTTTTTTAATCAGGTTAAGTGTAGTATATGACCAGAGATTACTTTCTGCTATCTAAAATACACAAGCTGTACTACACTTTATATATATTTGTAACTACCACTGAACTGTTTCATTCAACCATTGCACATTTCTGTTTCCATAGTGATCTCTGTAATATAAACATATCAATATTCTAAAGAAGTGAATTATAAAGATTTGCATTATTTTATTCTTTAATGTCACCCATACATAAATAAATAAAAATAAATTATCATTAGAACAGAAATATGATACTGTCACATCGGATATCAGTTTGGCAATAAATACAGAAGCATAAAACTCATATAAAGGAAATAATGTTCAACAAAAGTTATTATAAATATACTATGAAGTTTTTATGCTATTAATTTAGTCATTTTTAGATAACACATAAGTATTACAATACTATTCCAGATCATTCATAGGTAAATATGAATATCTAAACTTACTTTACACAGTAATTGGTGTATAATTCTAACATCTTGTTAATTTTATCAACTTTTATGTACGACGATTTTGTTTCATATATCTATATACATGCATATATATTTTATTTACTTACTAGCCTCATATTTATGCCAAAATCTTAGACATCAGGAAATACCATCTTTTTTCTAAAGGAAAAAAACAAAACATGTTGGACATGAGACTTCTATCATACTTCTAGTATATTAACTTTTAAAATTTCTCAACATGGTATTTTGCAAAGAATTATTTTTCTGAGGGAATTCAAAAAGCTATACACAAAGCTATGATGTATATAATTAAGAATTCTTATACTACAATCACAAACAGACTGAGGCAATGTATCAAGTATAATGATAATGTTTTATAACTTTCCACCAGGCTGATGGAGTTTCTTTAAAAACTTGTTGGTTAATTTCTATGGTTAAAAAAAGAAATAAGAAAACTAATTTTTTTTCCTCTAAATTCAAACCTGGAACATTGAAGATAGACTGGCAAATTTGACGGTTGACAGTCAGTGAGTCAATTAAATTCATTTGACATTCAATTAAATGATGTCTTCAGCAATAAGCAGTAAGCGAGGGCTCATCCAGGAGTGCGATTCAGCGAAAACCTCCCCGTGTATATTCCAATTTCCCTGCCGGACATATCAGCTTAAGCTGTAAGCTTTAATAGTTACAATTGCCATGGTAATATTAATTAAATAATTTACAGCAATGTTTATCAACCTTGAGATTAAAGTACAAACCTTTGATATTTGAATCTTTAATTGTGTTAATTCATTTTCTTGGAGTTTCATAGCATTCTTTAGATCTTCCATCATCTGTAATAATCAACAACAATTTAAGAATATATGTAAAAATATTGTAACAAACATTTATAAGTTGGATAAGTTTATTATTCAAATTTCAAAAGGCCACATGGTCTGTGAGGATATACAATACAAAATATATATTTTGCAAGACAATATGCAACTAGAAATGTGTCCATAGGACACTGATGCCCCCACACGCCACTGTTCTGTCAATCTTATGACTCTTGGTCAAATACTTTTTGGACTACATGTGCCACAAGTTGAAAACTAAAAATCAACAAAGGGCCATAATTCTGTTAAATTTGGTCACAGCAAAAATTCCTTCCTTTACTACCATCTACACATTAAGGTTGTTAATCCCTGGAAGTTTAAGCCAAATCTGCCATCCGGTTTAAGAGGAGTTGCGTTCACAAAATTTCTACAAAGTATATAATGAAAAAATCAACAAAGGGCCATAATTCTGTTAAATTTGGTTGCAGCAAAAATTCCTTTCTTTACTGCCATCTACACATTAAGGTTGTTCATCCCTGGAAGTTTAAGCAAAATCTGCCATCCGGTTTAAGAGGAGTTGCATTCACAAAATTTCTACATAGTATATAGTGAAAAAATCAACAAAGGGCCATAATTCTGTAAAATTTGGTTGCAGCAAAAATTCCTTCCTTTACTACCATCTACACTTAAAGGTTGTTCTTCCCTGTAAATTTAAGCAAAATCTGCCATCCGGTTTAAGAGGAGTTGCGTTCACAAAATTTCTACATAGTATATAGTGAAAAAATCAACAAAGGGCCATAATTCTTTTAAATTTGGTCGCAGCAAAAATTCCTTCCTTTACTACCATCTACACATTAAGGTTGTTCATCCCTGTAAGTTTAAGCAAAATCTGCTATCCGGTTTAAGAGGAATTGCGTTCACAAAATTTCTACATAGTATATAGGGAAAAAATCAACAAAGGGACATAATTCTGTTAAATTTGGTCGCAGCAAAAATTCCTTCCTTTACTACCATCTACACATTAAGGTTGTTCATCCGTGTAAGTTTAAGCAAAATCTGCCATCCGGTTTAAGAGGAGTTGCGTTCACAAAATTTCTACATAGTATCTAGTGAAAAAATCAACAAAGGGCCATAATTCTGTTAAATTTGGTCGCAGCAAAAATTCCTTCCTTTACTACCATCTACACATTAAGGTTGTTCATCCCTGTAAGTTTAAGCAAAATCTGCCATCCGGTTTAAGAGGAGTTGCGTTCACAAGATTTCGGGACGTACGGACGGACTGACGGACGGACGGACAAGTGCAACGCTATATGCTCCCACATTGTGGGGGCATAAAAATAAATATGCAAACAAGATTTAAACAACAATTTATATACATGTAAAAATACAAAATACATGTATTCATTTTACATATTTACACATTTGTGTACAATAGGGTCATAAAATATTGGGTACATACATTTTCATATTTTATTTCAGTTTCTGCAATTGTCTGTTGTAATTGTTCAATGATAACATCCTTGTCAGCTATCATCTGTAAGTAACAAAGTATACATGACACTGTAGTAATAACAATATTATTCGTGAGGGAGAAATAAAGAAAAACATGACAAAATATTGAAAATCTTGTCATAGCATGCAAATAGGTACTGGTAATCAAATCTTTAGAATGAATGTTGCAATTATAATGAATAAAATGAATTATAATGAATTTATTGGAATAAAATGTTTCTAAATGCTTCTAAAATAATTAAATTTCAAGATTTTATCTTACTATCAAATAAAACAGAAGTTTTTAAAGGAAGTGAAATATTCTATAGTTAAAAATATTTCACTTAGTTCAAATGTTTTAGAATTCATAACAATAATAATAATCATAAACTCAAGACAACAACCCAATATTTTTTTTATTTTTTTTTTTAAAATACCTTTTTATTTTCCAATTCAAGTTCTATAACTCTTTCCTGTAACTGATCAATAATCTTGTCTTTATCATCCTCCACCTGTACATAATCAAAGTTAAAATTTACTACAGATTGAAAAATTATTAGTGTATAGTCACTGTATATTGTGGATTTCATGTTTTTTGGCCCCAGAACTGTGACACACATTTTTATAGAGCAGATTTGTGGAATGTGAAACACTTTCCTTACTAGTACATTTTTATTATAGAATAAATATTCAAATGAAAGTGCTTAAATTTCATGCAATAACAGTATATTCATATTCATGTCATTATTCTTTTGAAGTCTCATATTAAATTAATCAATACCAAAAGATTTGAAACATTCTCTTTATAAAACCTCTTTAACTTTGAACTTGTAATTGAAATTACAAAACAAACAGCAAAAAACTTCTTAACCTTTGGAAAAATATTTTAGAGACACTATTTTTTTAAAAAACCCCTTGTTGAAAAAACTGTTGGGGTTTTTCTCTCCAAAACCCTTGGTTACTGCGCTGGGGGAAAAACTTTCCCAGACGATGATAAATTTGTTGTAACAGGGGGGTACCAAGCCCAACCCACAGGGCTAGATGGGGGACGTCAAGGTTTGGGTTAGAGGAGCGGGTTTACGGGTGCTTTTTGGCCTTTGGGGAAACCTTTGGGGAGTGCCCTTTGGGAAGCGGAAAAGGGGTTTCCAAACCCACCCGGGGGGACTGGAAAACCCAAAACCTTTTGGGGGTTTACGGTATCACTCATCTTCAATTTTCCTGACATAAACATATTATTTCATTACCCTCAAAACGTTTTGTTTAAAAATTTTTATTTTTTTTCCAAAATGAAATATTATGTATTACACAAATCATCAGCGAGTAAACAGAAGTATGCAAGAGTACTTACAACTATTCTCCTGTAAAGAAATATCTTTAATTGCAAAAACAATTAAACTTTGATAAAAAAATAGGTAAAACATGTTTGCACCATAGTTACATAAGCATTAAAAATAATATTAAGAAGGTTTATATAGCTTCTTCAATAATAATCTAACTAAAGACCTACAGCTTCAAGCCATGGAGGAAGTTTGTCTTCTGCTGTATCCTCTAACACTGCTGGTGAACTATTTTTAGGAACCAATGAGAAAGGCATAGACCCATCTGGTGAGTTTGGTTTCCCAGAATCCCCACTCAAAAGAGAGGAAGTGACATCATTACCAGTCTGGTTCCCAGTCTGAGCATCATTTGAAAAGGCACTGTCGTCTGCTGACATCTCATTTTGATTTCCCCCTAAATGTTTGACGGGCAGCAGAATGATAAAGAAAGGGTTTATAACATAACCCCCTAAGGTTTTTTTTAATTTTTAATGATAATTTTTGCAATAGGTTAAGGGATGTTTTTGATAAGATAAAAAAAATTAAAGTTTAAAACTTCCCCAAAAAAAAACTTGTTTAATGTTTAATTTTCCTTTTAAAAAATTAAAATTAAAAATATAAGTTAAAAAATTTAGTTATTCTAGAAATCACAAAATTTAAAAATTTGCCCAAATTCTATTTATTAGAAATTGAATGCATTTAAATGTATTTTAAAGAAAATTCCTTGACATTAAAAGTTATATAAACTATCATTGTTTTCCAATCGGGGAAAAAACTGGGTAGCCCATGCTTTTATTATAAAATGGTAAGCCAAAATCAAAACAAAAACAAAACAAAAAGGTATAAACTTTCCCAAAGTACAAATCAAACTCATCAATATTTACTTTAATGTGAAATATGAAAATATTGGCCCCTTGATCTAAAAAGACAATTATGTTGTTATCAAAAAAAAGTGGTTAAAACTAACTTTAAAGATTTCTAAAGATGTGATATTCATAACTGTTTATTTCTTAAAACACCCGGGAAAAATGGATGGACAAAAGACTGAAGTGAAGAATAACAAAAAAAACAACCCCCAAAAAAGGGGAAACAAAAACCCCCAATTTTAAACTTTTTGGGGAAACCTTTTAATTCAGAATTTTTTTTTTATTTTTTTTTCCCAAAGGATTTTGGGGAGAGTTTTGATGTCATTGCATTTTACAGAAGTTTTAAGACCCCTGTCAGATACTCTGCAGAAATACGAAACCCAAAAAACATTGTTTAAAAACCCCCTCTCCCAAGTTTTGGTTAAATATTTACAAACAAGTTGGGGAAATTAAATTTGAAAACGGGGTTCTAAAAACTTTAAATTTAATTGTTATTTTATTAACTGTAAGCGGCGGGAATTTCAGGTTTTTGATCTAAAAACATTGAAAAGGGGCAAGGGCCCTGAAAATTTGGTTAAAGGTTCAAGTTAAAAGCAAAGGAAAAATTTAAAAAAAATTTTAAATCAGTAGGGTTTTAAACAGAGCGGGCCCTAAGACACGCCCTCGACTTTTTTTTCCCCCTTGCCAAAAAAAAAAAGGTTTTTTGCAAAAAAGGCAATCAAGTCCTGTTTTTTTAAAAATAACAAGGGAAAAAGGGGAGCATTAAAAATTTTTAAAGTAAAAGAATTATTTTACTGAATTTTTTATACCCTTGAACATGCACAAGTTTAAATTTTTAAGTCAAAAGAGGCTGGTAAGAAAGAAAAAAAAACTGGTTGACCCTTAAAAAATTTTAAATAGTATTAAACCCACTTTGGGGAGAAAAGGTTTTTTTACTCACTCAAACCTTGGTAAATAAATAAAAAACATAATTTTTCCAAAAATTTCAAATGCCAAGGAACCCGGGTTAATTTTTTTTAAAATCAGCAAAAATTATAAAAATTTGGGGATTTTGTTTTGGGAAAGTATTTATTTCCCTTTTTTAATAAAATAATAAAAAATTTTTATAAAGTTTTTTTAATTTTGGTCATTTTGGTCACAAAGTGGATTTTCTTTCAAAACGGGGCGTGGGGCCCCGGGTTATTTTTATGGGCCTCCCACTTGGATAATCGTTTTTAAAACTATATTTAAATTTACATAAAGGAATTTCCCAATTCCCATTTATTAATGCCCAGCAAAAAATTTTTTCATAAAACCCTGCCCGGGTTAAATTTATTTTTTTCCCCAATTTGGGGGCACTCGTTTTTTTGGTCCCCTTTAAATTATATCAGAAAATTTTAAATATGAAAAATTTTATGGAAAATGAAAAAAAGTGGATGGGAAATAAATTTTTTGATTTTTTAATTTTATTAGTGCTTTCCCTATAAAAACCAAAAACAGGGGACATTTAAGGGGCCTTTAATAAAATTAAAATCTTTGAAGAAAAAAACCTTTCCGGGAATTTTTGGGAATTTAGGATTTTAAACAAGTTTTCCCAACTTTAAAATTTTTAATATCTCAAACAGTTCAAAAAGTGGACTGGTACTAAAATTTAACCAAAGATTCTAAGTATAAAATAGGCCCCTTTTTTTTAAAAAACCAAATCCCTTGGAAGGGGTTACCTTCTCTTGCTTTCAAAGGGGGGAAAATGATGGGGAAAATAGAAATTAAAATTTTCAAAAAAATATTAAAAGGTTTAAAGGGGAAATAAGTGGATTTACCCATTTTTCAATTTATTTTTTTTAAGTAAAAAAGGGAAATTTTTCAAAAACTTGACAAAAGTTTTTGCCCCTTCTTGTCTTTGATGAATTTTCCGTGATGGAAAACAAGCTTTGGTCAGTTTCCCCAAAGAAAATCCCCTCCAAGGGTTTTGGAAAAAATTTAAAGGGGGTAAAAAAAATTTTTAAAACCCAACCCCCAAAAAACACTTTTCTAACCCAAAAAAGGGCCAAAATTTGTAAAAAACCTTGACAGATTTATGTACTCTTGTCTGTAGATGGATTTATGATGGTAAAAAAGGAGGGGAAGTTTCCCCCCCTATTGAAAATATTTTCTGAATAATGGGTGGTAAAAAAAAATTTAACCCAAAGGTTGGACGCCAACCCCGAGGGCCAGGGAAGTTAGAAAAAGCCCCCCTTTTCATAAAAAGCAAAAGTTAAAAATAAAGGGTGAACTTTTAAAAACAAAACAAACCAGGGTTTCATCAAATCTCTTTTGGGAAACAAACAAAAATTTTGTAACAAAAAATAACAAAAATAAAAAAGGGGGCCAAATTTTTGGCCCCAATGCCTGAGTATGAAATTTTTTCACCCCAAATTTTGGGCCCAATGCTGGTTTTTAATTTTCAGGAAAAAAATTTGGAAAAAACCCCCTGAAAAAAGTATGAAATTTAAAAAAACCATATACAAAACTCTAACCCCAAAATAAATTTTAAAAAATCCCCCCCTCCCTATGGGAAAAATAAAAAAAAAACCAAAACAAGAAGGGAAAAAACCCCTCAAAAAAGAAAATAATTTAAAATAAAATTTTTCAAGGCCCAAACAGCTAAAAACAAAAAAAACATATCACGATTTTGGGAAATTTTTAAAAATGGGCCCCCCTAACAACCCCTAATACTCGGGCCCAAAATAAGCATAAAAAATTTTGGAAACGGGTTCAGGGCGTTTACACGGGAAAATTTTACCTTTTCCCTTTTCCGGGTTTGTTTATATTCCTACCTTATCTAAAAATTTTTTTTAAATGATACAAAAAATTTTTTTTAAAAAGGTGAAAAGAAGTACTAAAAATGTGCAAAAAACCCATATAAAAAGTTAACCCAAAAAAATCCCTGAAATTAAATTAAACCGGGTTTTAAATTTTTGAAAAAATTCCATTCAAAGTTAAAGGATTTTGAAAAATCAAAAAATATAAAAATTACCCCCCCCAAAAAACCCAACCAGCCCTGGAAAAATGATCAAGCCTTGTACAAAAAGGTACGGGATGACCTGGCGAGTTAAATTGGTAGTAATGAAAAAATTAAACTGTTGGTTCCCAGCGATTTAAGGTTTAAAAAAGGAATCCCCAATTTATAGCCCTCAGTAAAACCTTTCCTAATGCTAAAATTTAATTTTTAAAAAGTTCACAATTAAAAGTTTAAAATTTTAAATTTTTCCCCCAGATACTCCGTTTTAAAAAACCCATTTTCTTTTAATCCATGCGAGGAAAAATTTTAAATAATTTGTTAAAAAAATAGTACAATATGAAAACATAGTTCCCCCAAAAAAAAAAACCAAAATTATTAAAGGGGGAA